AGGCGACACCATGAGCTGCTATGGGTATAAACAGGAACACAAAGAAGTAGAAGCTGCATGTCGTATTATTGAAACTGGAAACAGCAGTAGGAACATATGATAAGTCACTATTTGTGCTGCCTTTTTTTTTTGCAGCCTTTCTGACTCATCCGCTACAATAGCGCATTCATTCATCAAAAACACAAGCGAAACTTGTGCCACAATTCTTCGACATTCTACAATACTGACAACGTCTGTTTGACTGCGTTTATCTGATTGTGTCTTCACTGTCGGCTGGAGACACACTTGACACAATATTTACAATGCTGCATTGTGGGAAAAAAATCTAATGACGCCACAAAGAACTCCTCTCTTTAGTTTGTCTCCTTTTGACAATCTCCCCAGATATAAACTGCAACGTTCAGAGACTTTTGACTCTATTGACATTTTCAATCCACCACGAATGCAGCAAACGAGACCAGTTTCAGGACAAGCAGACGCTTTGAATTTGTGTGCTGTTTATGTAAATCACTGTTTTGCTTGGGGGTCACCGTCAGTATAAGCTCAGTCCTTAGATTGCTTTTAGTTTGGAACAGAAGTGATGAATATATAAGACAGACTGAAGCATTTTGAAAATATGACGCTTGCAGTTACAGAATGATTAAAGTCACTGATTGCACCTCACTTACAAATCCCATAAAAGTCACTTGCAGCAAACATGCAATAAAGAGAATTAAGAAATAATGAGACAGTGAAAAGAGAGCAGCAAACTGTGCTGTTCTGTTGTATCTCATGCTCTTACAAATTATCTCAGTGACTCATACAAGCAGGCCTTATGCCAAGTACACTGCTTGCATTGTATGAATTTAGGACAGAATTTCATTCCATAATCGTGACATTTTGCAAGGATAATACAAGAATTTAGTCTCATTCCACCAAAACCTACACTGCATCAGCAGTTTTAAAAAAAAGAAACCCTGCAATTTCCTTCGAAAATCCTTAAGAATTAACCAGTGATTTAGATCGGTCCTTTGTGTCTGATTAAACCTGCGTTACACAACCAAATGTGCAGCCCACACCCATCTGGCTCTCGTACCTATGGGCTGAACCAAACAGTTGCACAAGGACATTTAATAGAATTTAAATAGTCTGCGGGTCCAGGTTGCATGTGTCAATTTAAAAACGAAATAAATTAAAAAAAAAAAATCACATCACAAGTTAGAATTTTGCTCAGACCGATGTCATGTGACTTCCCTTATGCTGCAGGAGACATTAATCATACACACACACACACACACACACACACACCCACACACAACCGTCCATCCCCATCTAATCCTCTGATTCTACTCCCCTTTGCAGTCTGAGCTGCCCTGTTTTCATTGTAGTCATGGGCTGTGACTCATCGCACATCTGAGCCAAGCTATTTGCGCTGGTTCACACTGGCTGACACACCTAAGACCAGGAAACACACCCATTCCCACATATCCTTGTATTCAACAAGAGTGACCTGCCGCACAGCGGTGACAGCCAGGGGGGATTCGGTTTGTAAAAACATGCAAAATATTCTGCACATTTCTCAATGTTTTGTTTGATCCCTTTGGCACAATCCACATCTTTGTTGTCTCAAAGTGAACTCATCTGCCACGCCTGATCTGCTCCTGCTGTGAGCTAATTAAGATTTATTATAGATAACTCATTAAGTCATAACTGCCTTCACCTGGCTTCACCTCATTAGTGTGAGAACTCGTTCTTGAGTGAGAGTGAAACAGCTTAACCGTGGTCATTTTGAGCAGTAAAGAAAACTTTTTACTGCCGGGTTGTTATGTGACCATAAACATCCAACGCCTGCTGAAAAGTTGTCGAGCAACACGCAGTTCGGAGAGGAGTCCTGCTGTTTACATGAACACGCATCACAGTTGTCTGTCTGGAAACAGCAGTTGCTGTAAGCCGAAACGGTTCTTCAAAGGCAACAAGAGCCACACCTCAGCGGCAAAAAAAAAGGCAAACATGCAGGGAGCTGAGCAAACAGGTGCAGGAGCAGAACAGTGTGTGAAGAGGATGATCTGTGGGTAAAACTTTGGACTTTGTAGAAAAGTGCAAGAGGGTCACTTTAAACACATCAATACTGTGAATGGTCTCTGCAGTCAGTAAAATGTTATATACATTTTATGTACCTACTCCTTGACAGAATATTTGTATGAACACATTTCAGAGCCCTACAGTGATACGTGTTACATGTGGAACATTTTTACGACTTGTTTATTTGGAAAACGGTTATAGTCCAAACAGAAAAAAAAGAAGCACCCTTCATGCATAGTTTTCCAGGCTCTTTGCTTATCTTGCACATGGTTGGGATTGCTCCTTCACTTTTATCTCGGCGTGTGCACAATTACAGACTACTACGCACGCAATCAGCGGGTCTTCTTTGAATGGGAATCCACCCTGTTTTTTGTTTTTTTGTAGGAGAAAACAAAAAATCTATGCTGATTCATTGTGTTCTAATGTGGTAATATTAACATTAAAATGCGTGCGCGTTTGCGTGTGTGTGCATGTCCAAGCATGTGCGCACCACTCCCTGTTCCGTCCCCGCAAAGCAACACATGAACTTCCTCTGTGTCTGCTCTTCTCCTTGCATGTTGTCTGCTGTGTTTCACCTCATGGAGTTTGGGTGTGACACATGAAGAAGGGTGTAAAGGGTGTTTCAAGGACGGTTAATATTGCTGTGAGAGGTGGAGAAGCACAAATATGCACTAAAACGCACACACGCATATAGATAAGCCACATGACATCCCATTTCCAAAACTCGATACAGAATGTTTTAAATCAGTTCGTTCCAACCAGGTTTACTTGTACATCAGGGGGCACTTCTGCCAGTTTGGTTGAAACATACAATACAATACAGGATGGGATTGAAAAAATAAATAAAGCTAGAAGTATGCAATATATGGTCAACATAGTGACCTGCAGTTGTCCGCAAATGTGTTTATACCCTCCCATTAAATAAGGAAAAAACTGAAAATAAAAACTGAAATAAGTTGAAATTGACAAAAGTAATAATAAATGTTAAAAAATTAATGAAAATCATATGCTTTTGAATAGTGGTTCCAAAGATATATATATATATATATATATATATATATATATATATTTTAAAAACAAAGAAAAAAACAAGCATGATGGGACACGTAGACTAATATTTTGTTGAACAACCCTTTGAGCCAATCAGTGCAATCAAGTGTTTTCTGTAACTCTCAGTCAGACTTCTGCACCTGTTGACAGGTATTCTGATTTTGGCCCACGGCTCATCAGCAACGTGCTCTAATTTGTCCAGGACAGTTTTTTTTTTTTTTTTAATTATTATTTTCATCCACAATTCAAAAGCAATGTCTTGTTTCACAAAATTATAATTTAGCAAGTTTTTTATTTATTACTTTTTTCATTTTCTAGTTGTTTGAGTGACTATTGTGAATTTTGCCTTTTCTTTAATGGAAGGGTATGAATGCATTTGAGGATGCTTATAAAAGTAATAGAGTGTCTGTAGTGTTCAGCTTTCAAGTGATAGTCTTACAAATGTAAACTTAAACACACCACGATAAAGGCTGATACATCAGTTGGTAAAAATAACTTTAATAACAATATCCGCTCTTGTTTTAACAATGCTAAATAAAAAACAGAACTATATTTGAAACATGACGGGTGCTTAAGTTAGTCTGACTGGGCTGCTGGAGTACATCACACAAAAATGGCTGGACGTCACTTTCCTACAATATCGTTTCAGTTACTGTTTTATTAGACATTTTCATCTATGATCATACCTGTTATCCCAGACTGAATTTGTCTGCCCGATTTGACTCTCTTCCAACGACTTATCGCACCATCTCTCCTGTCATTTTTTTTACGCCACATTGACACCTTGTTTAACTGTGATCAGTTGCAATGTTTTGAGTTTAAGACTGAAAGTGAGTAATATTCCTTGGCAGACCCGATATTTGAGCTTCGAGATGGAAAAGCTGTATGATTGAATGCTTTCCTGTTAAGTGCTTTTAAATACTTGAAATGACAGCAGGCCGTAAAAAAGAGCGCTACCAATGACGATGAGTAACATTTCGGTCTAAAAATATCTTCCATGTGACACTGACTATTACAGAATTATGTAGCAAAGTGAGTATGGTATCCCTCCTGACAATTACAGAGATTACTATTGCAATTGCTGTTTCTGCTTATGAAAGTGTGGATTAAAATAGCAGCCTGTACGAAGCGTGTTTTTAAAAATCTTTAACATGTTTTAAAATCTAAAACAGAAATGAAGCAATTTAATACAACATGTACATTTATTGCAGTATAGCAGTTAGTAGTACTTAGCAGGGTGGGCGTCGTTAAACAAAATGCTTAAGTAAATCCTGTCTCGTAAATAGACACTTTGCCTTTTGTGTGTAACTAAAGGCCTTGATACTGAGTCATTTCGTTAATGATAACTTAGTGTCAGCTTGTGTGCAGCAATTGAAATGCTGTAATAACATGTTTATGTCATTGTCTATCATGTGATAGCCATTTTGCGGCGTGCTGCTCTGTGTGTTTTTCTGAAATGTGAAACAAAAAGTCGACTGGTTGAAAACTATTTCAAACAGTTTTGCTTTGTTGACTAGCTTAAGAAATGTGTTTTAAACGGAAAGCAGTGTGTCAAAATGAAACACAAACCCCCTAAGCCGGCCCTGAGTCATTCATTGCCATGTATTACATAATCCTAAATTACATTTTATGTGTATTTCTGAAGGAAAACAGTTTTAAAATCACTAACTACTGCCACATTTTTGATGAGAAATGTAGTTATCATTATCTGCTTGATGGTGTAAATGTAATACCTCTTTTTTTTTTGTTTTTTCTTCTTTAGCACAACTTACTTTTCCTGTAGCATGTCACTGGAGCCCTCTATGTGAAGCAGTGGGTGGTCCCATGACTACCGAGGACCACTCCCTCGCCCAGGTCCCCTCCCCTGCATTCCCCTCCCTCTGCAAACCAGGAGCCCTACCCAGCTCCCTCTCCAACCACTCTGCTCAGCCCAGAGGAGCAGCCACACAGAAAAAAAAAGAAAAAGAAAAAAAGAAAAGAAGTTAAAATCAACTCAGAGCAGAGGAGGGAGGGGGCAAGGAGGGAGAAAACGCCCTGGAAATCTGGTTGATCGTGAAATAGAAAAAGAGTGACAGAATCCTAACAGACTGCGAAGTTGTGACATTGTGAAAGTGCTTTTCTTGGGCTGAGGAGAAGGGGAGAGGACACGTTTTCAAGGATGCTCAAGCTCGTGTGAGGCTTCTCGGGCGCCGAGGCTGCGCGCAGGTAAAGATGCACATTTTTGTTCTCTTGAACTCAAGTGAATGTTTTCTTTATGAAAAAACTTTGCCAGCTGTTTTTTTTTTTTTTTTGCTTCTGACTCAAGTGTGCTGCAAAAAATGACAAATCTCTTGTAACAACTTGGCCAAAGTTTAAACAAACAAGTTGCAAAAGTGTCTGACTTATCTGTCCAACATTCCTGTAATTTACCAAGAGCCACTTGTAGTGATTGTGTGTATGAGTGGTGAGATTGCAGTGACTTTTTTTCCCCACATTTTATTACATGAGCTTATCTCTTTTGTATCCCATGTCTTTTTTTCCTAAGGAGAAGTTTTGCAATAGGGAAGTTCTGTATGAAAACTCTATTGTGACTTGTTTTTTTTTCTGTGTGGGGTTAAGGTGGCAGTGATTTTGTGTTGAAATCATACATTTTTACCCCTTACTTAAAATAGTGCAGGGCATGAGAAGTGGGTGTGTACATGCAGCCACCACATGAATGCAGAGAACTTGACTGGAGTTGCGCACTTCACTTTTCCTTTAACAAAGGTTGTTATTATAGATGCATACACGTGTGGAATCAGCTTTGTAGGATGGATATAAGGTATCCTTGTTTGATTTTAGGCGCTTCAGCAACAAGAGGTGACACTTAAAAAAATACGGTTTGTGTAGTGATTTGACTATTGTGCGATGTGGATGACACACGAATCCATTGTCTTTGAGATAACAAGCTGTTTGATAGGGCTTTAGAATATCCCACACACTAGATGAAAGTTGACTGGAAGAAGAAGCGGGATGATAAAGCCGTCAGGTTTGATGATTGTGTCTTTGAGGCGTTTCTCTTATCTGTTCTTTTGCCGAGACAGGGAAGTTTAAAAAGTAAAGGTACATCTCTGCGAGAGCTCGCGGCAACGAGGCTGGGTGTGGATGCCTCTCCTTCACCTCCCTCCTCCCCTTCCTTTTTTTTTTCCCTCCCTCCCTTCTTGCTTCGCTGTCTCCTCACAGGGGCACACCCTTTACACAGACAGAGAAAAAAAAACATACACGCTGCAGACGGCCGTCGCAGTGGGTCCCTCCAAGTATAGCCAAAAGTCCTTCAAGGAGGTGCTGGGCAATGAAACGTGTTGAGCATAACTCTTTCTTCGCTGTGTTGTCGGGTGCTGTATGATTATCATTTAAAGCAAACGTCCTTTGTGGAATGTGGGTCTGAAGTTTCTGTTGCATAACAGAAAGTTGAAAACTCTCACTGCCTGCTTGGTTGTGAGGCATGTACATGTTAGTTTTTAAAGTCTTGGGCAAAGAGAGATTTCTTTCTCAATTTTTTTTTTTTTGGGTCTCTTAACCTGGGCGTGTGGCCAGGGTGTGTGTGGGGGGAGAAGAAGGGAGGAAGACGGGGAGAGAGAGAGAGAGAGAGAGAGTCAGGGAATGAGTTAGTGAGGGGGGGGATGGGCGGGGCGGGGGTGAGGAGGGGAGTAATGGAATGTAGTGGTTTGGAAAGACAAGCTAATTGAAACCAGGTTTGAGGCATAGAGGGGGGAGCTAAGACTTTGCACATTTGGGGAAAGAGAAAAACGCATTTCAGAAAGCCTAAAGTCGAGGGATTTCTCCTCCTGTTGTACGTTTAAAGCCCAAATGGCATCTTTTCAGGTGTGGTTGAGGCCAGAAACGTTACACGCAGCCTCGCCTGAGTTCGTGGTGATGCGTGCGATCAAGTTGAGCGAAAAGCACATAGAGAAGATCAGATATAATCCTTTGTTGAATCTCAGTTGGAAGTCAGATTTCACTGTGTGCAGTTTTGCCTGTCCTCCACAGCTCCCTCTTGCCACACCCAAAAGTCAGTTCAGAGGAGTGTTTGGGAGAGCTGCTTTTTTTTTTTTGCTTCACTCTATACTGTTTTTTTTTCCCCCTACAATGCGCACTTAAGCCACAGTGACTGCCCCACTGTTGTAAATGTCAACCATTTCTCAAATTGCCCCCGTCAAGTTGATTGATAACGGTACAAACTGCCTTAAGAGCCAAATAGTGACATGGGGTTAAAAGGTCTTTTAGTGGTAGGTTGTTGCTTGAACTGTAATATGTTAAGCATTCTTAGAATTGAAAAATTCAGGTTTTTACCAATAATATGACATGACATATGAAATGACACATGTCCCTACACGTGGATGTATACAGACGTATTATACATGGAATGTGATTTATATTTCAACCGTTGAAACTGCTCCTAACTGCCTGCAGCTGAAACGCTTGTCGGTTAACAGGCACCCATCTTGGCCTAGGGCGGATGCTGTTTGTTTAAATACTCGCACTGTCTACCGAAGCAGCAGCAGCAGCACAGGGGCTACATTATGCTGTCACCTGAAGTAATGTAAGCCATTTGGAATTCAAAAAAAAAAAAAAAAACGCACCATGAAATGTGGAAGACGCTCTATTGGTTAAATTTTGCTCAGTCATCACAGCTGACACTCACTCACTGGTTTTTAGCTGCACTTGTCACCTGTGTGACAAACAGCATCTTTAGTTGGCTGAAGAAAGGAACATGCCTCATGACTGTTTGGAACCTTGGCTTGACCATGTTAAGATATTTTTCACAGTGCTCGCCCGCAGCCTCTGCGTATTCTTGCGCTTTTGATTGACAGTGCGGATGAGAGGAGTGGCGGTGCTCATGCATGCCAGCGCGAAACGTAAGGAAACTGGTCTCTTGCACACTTCCTCTGCCATTTCCTCGTGGGCTTGTTGAGTGGGTGGTTGGAAGGAGGGACGGTGTGGGTTGGCGTAAAAAGAGGGAGACTGAATAGGCTGACAGAAGAGAGGGCGATTGCAATCAAACTATAGCTTATTATTTTCACACAAAACTGGGCTCTCAGACATCATTAAACTCCAGCCTGCTCAACCTGGAAATTGGTTCTGTAGAACAATTTTTTAGGAGCTCCAGTGAGAGAAGTTCAGTTTCCTTACATTTGCAAGTAAACATTTAACCGTAGTGTGCGATTTTAGAAAGTCTTTCTAGGCAACCCACCCAGCTGCCACTCCCTTCTCACCCATCCAGTGCTGGTTTGGAATGTTTCAGCATGTTCCCAGTGCTCTCTGCGGAGCGCCTATCATTAGCGTTGCTTTCCTTGTTGTTGAGAAATTGCGATTCGAGCGGTACGATGAGATAGTCAACACAAGTCACACACAATACCTCTCGAAGTCACACCCATGCACGTGCGAGGAATTCACCCTTGTTTATTGTGGCTTCGAACTCGGTGGGACTTTTGCAAGCATGGTACTCAGAAAGGGTGTGAAACATTTTTTTCTGATAAGCCAATCATTTGCAGCACTGCTCTTCCAAACATCTGCCGCAGGGAACCATCCAAAATCAATAAATCTTGAACAACTGTTGCCGTACTGCGCAGTCTACCTGCCTTACTGTCTCACTGTTCGATTCCATCCCCCCCATACAAAAATGGTTCTGCTGCCCTGTGTAAGGAATGACATGCAGCATCTGTTAGCAAAACTCTAGTTGGGGCCCAGAATGTCAGGGCAGCAGGGATTGGAATGTAAATTTAGAAATACATTCAGCTTTGTTTAGGTTTTCTTTATCTGGCGCAGGATACTCAAGGATGGCACTCCTCACCAGCCAACATTCCCTTGCTCAAAACAACTCTGCACTACTCTGGTTTGATTTAAATGCTAAGCATGAATGCATGTTCTTATGATCTGCTTATGCTTTACGTTCTGCAGCGAAGGAAGCCTTATTTCTATATATACATTCTGCTGCTATGGTTGCCATCTAGCCCTCCTCTTAACCTCCTTGCCCCTTGCTCCACGAATGGACTTGCATTTGCTCTTGTTCAAACAGCAGCTGTGGAAGACAAAAACAAAACGTGAATACATTTCCACATAAAACCGAGCTTGTCTGTTACATGACTAGACCTATATAAGATTTCTCTACATGTCAGTGAGGTTCCTCTGATATATAACTATGCAAACCATATCCTCCTCTTTCTTGCTCATTGGCATAACTAGTTATGCCAGTTCTAAATTTGCATTCTCAACTGAAATATTCTATGTCTCTGTGCAGAACAACATGTCTGTGCTTCTCTTCATCTCCATCTATTGATTTGTTAGTTGCTCAAAGTTTCTGGCTCTAAAATTGTCCGTGGGCCCCGGCCCAGGATCACTTCTCATTTCAAAACAGAAAAGCCAAGCTAGTTTGTTTCATTTTTGCAAAAATGTCACTTCTGTGCATGCTCAATTGCCAGTTCAAGCTTTTTGTATAGCACAATATTGCATAGATTGTCTCAGTGGGATTTATAGGCTCATAGCTGCCACAGTTCGTGATGCAGTTCCTCAGACTGAAGGAAAAATTCCCCTAAAAATCTTTGCACATACGGAAATAAAATGGAAGAACCCTTGGGAGAGGGTTCTTCCATTTTCCATGTCTAGGGGTGTAATAGACAAAAACAGTCACAGTAGGAGCCATGAGTTGTCTGGTATTAACTCCCCCATACAGAATAGAACTCTTCTGCTACTGTCCTTTTGACAACACAAGGCTTAAAATACAATTTGTATGAAAATCAAGGCATAGTCAAAATGTGCTTTCGACACAACCCCTGGCCTTGTTTGTGAACTCGTAAAAGCGAGAGAGGAGGATTTAAAGAGTTTTCTTCAGTTTTTCCATTCGGTGCATGACTCCTGCCAAAGTCACAATGGTTTAATCAGCAGCAGGCCAAGTTGGCGTCAGTGGGCAGGCTTTGGTCTTATGCAGGACTTGTGGTTTGGTTCAGGACTATGTGGACTATGGAGTGCAGAAAAGAACCATTTATTTTGACGCCCATTCCTTTTATATGCGTCACACATGCATGTCCTATCTGCTTTTTTTAAAGGAAAGACTAAAGACTGGGGCCTGCTGTGTCTCTTTTTGTGTCTGTTGTACTCGCTGTGTCAAACTACAATATAGCAAAGGGAACAGGGAATCTATTCTGTTTTGACAACAAGGCTGATTTGGTCACTATCCGCTCTCTCTCTTTGTCTTTCTGCACTGAGGTCTTTTTATTTGCTTCATAATCAAATCTTATCACTCCCCACCACAACTGATATACTTATGATTGAGCCGTAATCATTGTCACACTGTTCCTCTTTTCTGTTCACTAAATTGATTAGATTTGGTGGTCAGCTTTGATCAGTTTCCAGTGTGCTGTGACCTACTTTATTATAAACTATGACAGTCAAACAGTCCAGGTATGTGCCCTCAAGTGACAGGAGAGGAGATAAGGCCTGGATAGTGAATGAAATAGATAGAGGGAGTGCTGTTGCATCACCCTCGTGCAGAAGTGAAGCCAACTGAAATGATGATGTGAATGACTATTGTGCTGATAACGGTCATATGGACAACACAAGTGGAATCTGTCAAAAATGATCAGGTGTCCAGTGTGACTTCTAAACTCTCATTTGACATTGCATGATTCAGGGTGCTGTTAAAATTGCATATCTGACCGAGTGTGGTGTTATTGCTTGTTTTGGGTTTAACCTGGGGGTGAGGGGCTGACTGCGGGGGGGCGGGCACTCGGACAGGGTGCAGGGTGGGCAGCATAGAATGAAGCTGGAGTGAGAGTCGGAGAGAAAGAGGACATTTCTTTGGAGTTAGTCACCGTGGGGAGAGGCTGGGCTCCCTTCCAGCTGGCCTGACGGCTCTATCAAGGAATGTGTGTGACTGGAGGCCTGGGTGGGGCCGTGCACTGAGCTGCTCCCTCTGCAAGCAAAGCAAAGAGGCAGACCGATGCGATCTGAGTTGTAGGCTGCGGTGTGGTATTTCTACTCACGCCATGTGTTTTTATTCTCTTTCCCCCACTGTTGGTGACCACATTTAACCTTTCGAAAATACCTGCATATTTATGCTTGTTTATGTGTGTGTGGTCTTACAAAGGTGTCGACTGCAGAGGGTGGGGCAGCCCAGAGTTTGTTAACACTGATATGGTCATTGCTACAGAATCTACAGCTACTATGTTGCTTTTTACATCATATATTTCAAGTTAATCGCACACATAAAAATTTTGGCTTGTACAGATTTCACATACCCTGAATCGAATTTTGCTCTGAGCATCAGATCCAGGCAAACTCTGTCTCACATTAACTTTAAATTGCTATTTGTACCTTTGAAAATATCAGTCAGCCTTCACCTGAATGGCTCCTGACATGGCAGTCTGATTAATACGTCTCTGTAACAAGAGTACGGGTTGGAGAGTGTACACAGCTGCTGTGGCGCAAGTCTCCCCACACAAACATAATGACAGCCACATACTGGCTGGCATTTATCTTAGGGATATGTGCCAACTATTTTAGTATATTGAAAAACACATAAACAATGCGTTCTTGGGCAAAATTTTAAAGTGTTTTGTAAGTTTTGCGTGTCAGTGATTTCTCTCACTTTCTCTCTATTATATTACATAGGTTTTAAAAGCTGACTGTTTGGAAATGGTTTCTGCCTCGCAAACACCGTTATTTGACATAATTTTCCCCAAAGTAATGAGCAGTTTAGTTTATTGAACGTAGGGTATTTGGGAGGGGGAAGTTAATGACAGGGTTGGAGAGCCTGTCTCAGAAGAATTTTTTGGAGGGACATGTTCCTACCGGTAGATGCCTGTCTGTACACACATCAAGTCTGGTTCTGTTTGTACTGGGACTGACAAAGACAAGGCTTTGTTTCACAATATGCCGATAGGTTGACACAATAATCCTCATAAGGCCTGTAGATGTTGGGCTAGTTACAGCGAGGAGAAGTAAGATTGACTTGGCATGCAGAATGACACTTCAAATTATAACTACAATTGCAACAACATAAATTTTCTGCTCTTTTGGCATATATGGCTGCACGTTTGTGCCGCTATACGACAGTGGTTTTTTATGCTTCTCATGGTTATCTCTTGAATGAAGGAATAAGAGCAGAATAATGCATGAGCACAATTTCAAAGTACCCTGTCCTTTTCCAAATTCCTCCAGAACAAGATATGCTGCTCTTAACTTTAAATTTTATGCTTTGGCAAACTGAAATAGATTCTGGATAGTTAGTGTGTCTGTCTTTTCTGCAGAAGTGACGGCCACACCAAACAAGTAGCTGGATTTATTTACGTAAAGGGAGTTTTGCATAATTACTCATCAGGGTCAATACTGCTACCACTTGGTTGGTTAATTATTAAAGTCTCCGAAGGCTGTGATTGGTCATGAATGGACCATTGAGCATGTGCACTCAAATGCCATGAGTAAATCCTCAGTGTAACCACTGTATTTATTGTTTGTGTAGCATATGGGGACACACCTCTTAATGCGACAATGACATGTGTGAGGAAATACTTTCGTTATCTGTTGAGCATGTGTCTGAAATATGGTGTTTTATTGCCTTACAAGACATCATGTTAAATTCAGGACGGTTTTCTTTAAAGGCCTAATTAATTAAATTGAATGCTTATTTAAATCATATTAAGGAATCCCTGACCTTGTTTTTTGTTTTTCTGTCAACAGAAGTCAAGAAAAGAGGAACAAAAGCATCATACTGAAGCCCTTGGCTTTGCTTGAGCAATCCAAGGTAAGTGTTCTTAAGCATAATGCAAAAGAGCCACACACTGCATCTGTCACTGGTTGAATAAAGAAAAGGAAGCTGGGTTCCTTACTGCCCATCACTCCATTTAAGACCATCTAGTCAGTGTCACCTCAGCACAGTGATCTATTATGTGGCCAGACGCCAAACCTCTGTTGGAATGTTTGTTGCAAAGCCTCCTTTGAACCTGGAAGGTCATGCCTCCACCATTCAGCTGTGAAAGGCCTGCCTTGTGGAAACCTGACACTCGGCTGCTTCTGCTCCCTGTGCCTCCTATTTGCACCCCTCCTTCCTCCCCCCAGCGACCACCTGTTTTACTCGAGCCCCCTTTCCCCTTCTTATGAAACAACCTTGTCAAAAGCCCGCCAAGCTCATTCTGTTTTAACCATGTGCAGTCTGCAGCAGTGGACAATCCCTCATTCCTTTTGAGTGGAGGGTAAAGGGCGCAGAAAAAGACAAAGCTACACCCAAACTCTCTGTACCTTCTTAAGGCCAATGACAGGGAAAAAGAGATGTGTGTCCAGAAATGCTCTTCGCTTCCACTTTAGCTAACAGATGCTTTTGTCTGTCTGGCTGACCCCGCAACGCCCCCCTTTCCCAACACACATACCAAGCCATAATAAAACATGATAGACAGTCGAGCTCATCTGTCACCCTTTGCCCTCATTTTCTCCCTGCTTCCATGGTTCCCTTCAAAGCTTTTTTTTTTTTTTTTTAAATATCTCCTTCTGTTTGCATTTTTGCTAACATAGTCTTGTGATGACATCACTAATCAAATTCAAAAATATGTGGCTCAGGCGTGTCAAAGAAAGGAAAGAACAGAGGACCAGTTGATTGTCATGTCCTTCCGATTGAGTCACAGACTGCCTGCTTGTCTTATGATTCCAAGAACAGAAGCGTTTTTATTAAGCATCTGTTTACTGCACATTCCATATCTGATCATTTGATCTTTTTGGATTCTAAATATAGTTTATCCTACATTAAGGCATATTCTAAAGGGTGGCAAAGAAGGGATAACTGGGAATGAGTTTAGTAATGTAGGAAAAAGTTAAATATCCAGGTTTTCCTGTGCACAGCGCGGTGTTGTAAGCTTCTGATGAGACGCTTGTAGTAATCTTACATTCTCATTTCTGCTTGGATGCCTTCCCACTTCTTCACCATTAACTTGCAGGTTAACATTCCACAAAACAGTTTCACAGCCATTCCTTTCCCTTTCTCATTTTTTTTTCTATTTCCTTTTTTCTCAATCTCCCTCCCTCTCGCTATGTTCTTTCCTGCCCTCCTATATTACTTCAAGCCTCAGCTCCTCCCTACAGCCTGCTGCCAGAAATATGTCAAAACTGTGAGAACAATAACTGCTCAAATAGTTACTCATGGAAAGGCTCAGTGTGAGGGGAAATTCCAGGAGGAGAAATCTGAAAATACGTATTAATGATGTGCAATTATATATGAAAATAAATCAATGGATAGGGAGGGAAGGCAAAGAGAGAAAATACAAGAGTCTTTAGACTGTCCTTTTGAGTGAGAGAAATTAAGAAAATAGTTTTTTTATCTTCTTTATTCTTGAGGAATTTTTGTGAACACATATAAGTTGGCTATCTCTTCCTTCTCTGAGACATTTTCCCCCCTAAATACGTAATCCAGCAAACAATAATGTGTGCATTGTTTGAGAGCTAAAGTGGTTAATGTTCACTGCCAGCTTCTCAAACACTGAATAGTTTTTCAATGTGAAAAGAATAAAGTGACAGAACCAAGATCATGTGATGGTTTGCAAGCTATTTTTGTCTGTTTTTACTGACTGAATGAGGAGAGGATGTGGATGTGTAAAATTAGCCACTTTGTGACCCAGGGGAAAATACAAATCCCTTTTGGTTTAGTTAAAACACTCTTAGAATTAAGATACTATAAGTTAGTTCACCTGAGTGAACCTGGGTCTTTGGCATCACAAACAGCACTGCTTATCCCTTCCATACTCACACAATACAGCTGTAATTGCTGCATATAATGTTGTGGCTTGAGGTCTTAATAGATTCATGTTTCAATCTTCAGTCAGGTGACACTGACAGAAACAATGAGACAGCGAGAGGGAGGAGGAAAGAGGGGGGACGAATAAGAAGATCAGGTTGTAGATGCCTGCAAGTGGTTGGCGTCATCTTTGGCATAAACTCGTTCTGTTCTCTGGTGTTATCGCTTTCAGTGACCCTAGCTTGTGTCATTCAGTCCTGAGAGTCTGCAAAAGTCTATTTCAGAAAGAGGGTTTAATATTACCTCAAAGCATTGCATGCATTCTCCAGTATTCTCAATCACACAGAGTCAGTCTATTTATTGACTTGCGTTAATTGGTGCATTGCTTGGTTAAATGCCCTTGGATGGGGTCCAACAAACTTGGGAGACCAGTTTGCCAATCACATTAAATTCCAAACTGTCTCTTTGTTAATGCTTTCTAACACGCCCAACTTTCACAAAATGCCTGCTCTTTTGTGACACACACACACACCTGCCAGAGAGTTTACAATATTTTTGACACTGTGTCACATAAAGTCACTGCAGCAAATCCAGCTATTGCTACTGTATGTATTCAAGCAGTCTGGCAGCATGGTCATATTTAAAAAAAAACAACAAAAAACAAATAACAAGCTGTTTACACTTCCTATGGCTGAGATACAGTTTTGTTAGGAAACAAACTATCCCACTTGCACACACCCACAGAAGCACAAAGAACTCAGATTTGCCAGTGTATTGTTTTACATCCCAGCAAACTAGCCCAAACATCAATAATGTTTTTTTTCTTCCCCCTAACCTTCTAATTTGTTTAAAATACTGTATAGTGGCAGCATGGCAAGAGTGGCAGATGGTTGCTGAGTGAGTGATGCGTGTTACCGATCCTTTTGAAACAGCTGTTTCTTTATCTTTGCCTCTGGTTCCTCTTGTTTCCAGCAGCTTGTTATCACGCAAAATAATGTGGCAGCTACAGTAAATGAGGAAGGGATTTGTGGGTGACTGGCTGAATTATATTATTTACAGTGGTGCAAAATAGTACGTAAAATATATTCAAGTGTGTGTGTGTGTGTGTGTGTGTGTTTTATTATTTCCCAGACTGACAATATTTTGGCAGATAATAATAAATATAAGCATCTGTTAAGTGTTTTTTCCGCCAGTCATAGTTTCGTTAAGAGTCTTTATTCAGACCTTAAAAAGGTGTTTTTAATCACATAGGAATCCAGCTTTTAAACTACGAGCCTTGCAATGTATTCGCCCCCTCCTCCCCCAAATGATTTGTCTCCAATGGCATGTTAGAGGTATTGAGGCAGCTTGAGTTTGCATGTCTTATCCACTTTCCAAGCTGGTCTCTGGTTGTTAACTTCCCTCATAAAGACACAGGCACTCAACCACCACAATGATTCACATCCTGTTTCTTTTGAGCCACCCATGGATAGGCTTTTGCCATTTGTATTGACCGATCACAAGCAAATAGAAAATTTGCAGAAACCAACTTAATGGCTGTGGTAAGCAGCAGTAGAATGATTCTCTCACTGAAATGACTTTGGTAATCGAGCTTTGTCGGTGTCTGATTTTGCAATATATTTCATTTAAAAAAGTACTTAAAGTACTGCTGCCGCCGATAATATTTATCTACATTCTTCGCAGTCAGTAGACCTCCTGGACACTGATTCGTTGTTTCATGCATTGAACCTTCAACCTGATGTTCAGGTGGTAGAAAGGGTAGTTTGTTCATGTTAAAGTTTGAAGTTTTGTGCAGGTGTATGAATGTAGACAGCTATCTTTGAGCCAGTAACTGAATCCCAAATTGCTCCTGATGTAGGTGCCACATGAGAAAACTATAAGTCACCCTGGATGGTGTGAACTAAATGAATACAATGTAAGAACATGCAAACTGTCTCTGGCAAGATAGAGACACATAGTTGAAACAGCTTTGGGTAATTCAATGAGTGGGATGTGGAGAGTTTGATATTAATGAAACAATGTGTTGTCTGTTTTGAAAGAGGAGAGGCGGTAGGACTAATCAGCATGCTTGAAGAGGCATGTCTGGGAATGATGTAAACACACCTTATTATTGCAGTTATTTTTTGCAAATGTGCTTCCTGTATAGCACAGAGAGATAGACAGTGGTAGAAAAAACAGTTGTGAATTTCAGTTGGCTTGATATGAGCTGGTAGAAACACGGTGAATTGTTGTATAATTGTTGCGTATTGGAGAGAAAATTGTATGACAGCCAGTAGTACCTACGTCTGAAGTGTAATGACCACACCTAAAAAGTAATATATGTGCTAATACTGTATCACAAAGTTGAGTTGTGGTTATAAATTCACTTAAAACACATACTTAACCTAGACTGAAACTGGTATACATAGCTGTCATTAATAAACAGGATAAGAAGTTTGAATTGTGTTTTCTGTATACAAATACATACATGTTTCAGTAAAAGACTACTGAATGTAGATGTGCATATCAATAAAAGAGGACAACATTCGTGTAAGTTTTTGCAACTCTGTGGGTGTTTTCACAAAGCAAGGCAACTTCAACCATGATTGTTCTTTCTATTGACTTTGGAGCTAGCTGGGGTGTAGGCCCATGATCAGGCTGCTTTCCTCAGGGCAAGGTGTGGTCTGACTTCAACCAAATTTTCAAAACACAAAGCATCATGGAGGGAGGGAGCTGATGGTTTAGTGCTTAGGGAGGCAGAGGCTGTGTTGTCTGAAAGAGTTTTAACACCATCTAGTGTTCACCTTTAGGTCCTATAATGCACACTACTTCTAGAGTGGGGGTGGTAAATTTTTCATGTGGACAACTATTGAAATTGTTTTAACGTGGGAAGAAGAACATACTATCTAGAACAAAATACTTCCCAGATCGATTTTGTTTTCATGCTTAATATTATCTTTTCTTTACACAGGAAAACAAAAAGACAGAGTTTCCATCACACAAGGGCTGAAAAAGAGAGACACAAAAACAAGGTATTTTATAAAGTTAAGGCCACAGTTCTTTTTATAGTAACTTCTTGTTAACTACCATGTGCTATTTCTATTGAAACCCATTGTTTGTATGATTATGTTTACAGATGGCTGACGAGGAGGACACCAGGGAGGTGCTATTTCCAGACTGGGAGGGTCCAGACAAAACTGGCTTGACCATTGAACAGACAGGAGGAGAGATTTTTGTTAAGGAGGTGAAAGGAGAGTCACCTGCAGCACGATCTGGAAAAGTATATGAAGGTAAGCAGCATCTTTCATCAAAAATTAAGTAAGATTTGTCTCACCTAAATGCAGACTAAACTTGGTTTTATTTCCAGACTTTTTAACTGCTCTCTCCACTTGATTATTTAGGTGACCAGATAGTGGGAGCCACTGTCTACTTTGATAATATGAGCTCAGAAGAAACCGCAGAGCTACTGAAGACACTGAATCGACACAAAGTTGGACTGAAACTACAAAACAAGGGAGACAAATCCCCTTGCTGCTCGCCCTTGAGCACACCATGTCGTTCACCAATAGGCACCCTGACATGGGAAGGGAAGACCCGCTTCGGAGGTTCCAGTCCAGACATCATTCTTGTAAGTTCCTTTACTGAACTATTAGGACCACAGATTTGTTTGTAGGGAAGCTACTGGACTACTACATGATGTACTAATATTTTCATGTTGTGTGATTACCTGTTTTTCAATAAACAGAGTGGGGATGATGAAGACTACAAGAGAATATACACAAAAAAGATTAAACCAAGGCTGAAGTCTGAAGACCTTGCAGAGGGAGTAGATGTTCGCACAGAACGGCATAGCAGCACGAGCAGCGATGGCAGCACAATCACTACCATCACTCGCCGTATCACCACCTACACAGTGGATATGCCGAGTGGCATAAGTGAGCAACTTGAACTTTCAAGCCCAGACTTCAAGGGGCTAAGGCATGAGTCTGGCGATGGCTCTCCTCGCATCAGAATCTCACATGGCAGCCCTTCAGGTAAAGCGGCAGCAGAGGAGGGAGTTTTTGAGTCGAGCAATGTAACTTACACTGGGCCACAGGTTAGCTCCACAGAGACACGCTGGGGCAGTGGGGGAGGTCAAACCACGACATTTATAAGAGAGGGAAAAGAAAGAATTACAGATGTTCGATTTAAAGGGCCTAATTTTGGCCTAACAGTTGGTAAAGGCCAGGAGGGCACTGATATGTCCAGAGGGACCGAAGAGCAAAGAGATGGAAGTTTTCAGGTTTCAGGAACAAGCATGTCACTAAGAGACAGCACAAACACTGGCAATAGACATGTTACAATAGGAGGGTTGGGAAGTGCAGACATAGCCTCAACAGATGAAAACGGAGGGTCAATAACTCTGCCTTTGCCAGGAAAAAGCATGCAGATTTCAAGTACAACCATAGATAAAACACAAGTGGGAAGTTTTGACACTAGTGTAGGTGAGAGGAAAAACGTGACAATATCTACAACCAACAGCAGTCACCCACAGACAACAGGATCAGGCAGTACTGACACTCCAAATGTCAGACTTAGCAGAGGCTCCACGGAAAGTGACACTGAATTGAAAGGTAGCAGGTTAGGAGGAACAACAATCACAATAGGAAATGTTGGCTCAGGATTTTCCTCAGGACCAGGCAAGATTTCAGTGACAGGTATGGATGTCAGCGTTACAGGTTCGAAGTTGAAAGGTGACAGAGATGTTAATCTGCCAAGCACAAAGGGAGAAATAAAAACATCTGGAATATGTGGTGATGCTGACATTTCATTACCTGTGACACATGGAGAAGTAAAGAAATCAGAGCTGGACATCAAAGGGACAGATATGCAGATGAAAGTTCCCAGTGCTAACATTGAAGGATCAGTTGTCAGTGTGAGACTTCCAGAGGCTGAAAGTGACTTCAAAGAACCTGAAATAAACTCTAGCATTCGAGTCAAAGTACCAAAGAGTGATAGCAAATACAAAATGGAGGTTAAAATTCCATCATTATCTGGGCCTGACAAAGATGTAAGCATAAAGGGTTCTAAGATGGTGGAAAAGCTTGACGCAACAGTTTCTAAGGCTGATGGAGAAATACTAGCACCCAAAGAAGACAGTGAAGGTCTAGCTATAAACATTGACAAAAAAGAAGGAGATTTGAAAATGCCTCATATAAAGATGACATCATTTGGAGCTAAGGCACAAAGTGTTGATGTAAATGCTCCGAAGGCTGACATTAAAGCAACAGAATCTTCTGTTGAAAACACAGATGTAAAAATAAAGGGACCCATGTTTAATGTGCAATCTGGGTCTGTTCCAAAGATCAAGGGAGACACAAAAGGTCTTCATGTTGACATTAAGGGAGCACAAATAAACATTACTGGGCCTGATGCCGCAATTGATGCTCCAACAAAGCAGGGTCAAGGTCTTGATGTAAAACTTACAAAATCCGATACTGACACTACAGCACCTAAAGTGGACATTAAATCACCAGGAGTTGATGGTGGGGGTCCTTATGTAGACATGACAGGACAGAAGTTCACAATCCCTTCCACAACAGTCAATGTCAAAGCACCTCAATTTGACATTAAAACATCGAGAGTTAATGTAGAGAGCCCAGATGTGGACATAAAAGTGCCCAAAGTGGATACTGACATGAAGGGACCACAGGGTGGATCAAAAATCAAAATGCCATCATTTGGTCAAAAGGTCAAGGGTGCAGATGTGGATCTTCCCGAAAGTGAAATTAATGCAAAAACACCTAAAATTGATGTTGAAGACCATAATGCAAGAGGACAAAAGATGCCAGATGTGAATTTCAAACTTGAGGATCCAAGAGTGGCAGGAGATATAGATGCATCAGTTCCAAAGATTGAAGTAGACATAAAGGAGGTAAATATTAAGGGACCAGGTGTTGACAGTGAAGATCAGAAAGGTGGATTTAAAATGCCTAAATCCTCAATTTCAACATTTGGAATAACTGGTTCAAAATGGGAAGGGCCAGAAGTTGATGTTGGTCTTCCAACAGCTGAAGTTAATGTGAAAGCAGCTAAAGTGAACATCAAAGGGAAAGATGTGAGTCCCAGTGGAAAACTGACAGGATCAAAATTCAAAGTGCCGGCAATTACAGATCCCAAAACATCCATGCCAGATGTGGATTTAAGTGTCAAAGATCCCAAACTTGAAGTGAAAGGGAATATGTCAACTCCAAAGATAGAGGGGGTCATAAAAACATCTAAAGTTGACACCAAAGGTCCAGAGGTTGTCATTAAAGGTCCAAATGTGGAGGGTACAGTTTCTGATATAAACCTTCCCAAAGCTAGCATTGATGTGAAAGCACCTAATGTTAACATCAAAACTCCAGAGATTGACATTGAAGGTCCTGATGCAAAAATCAAAGGACCCAAAGTTAAAATACCAACCATAACAGGACCAAAGATGCCAGAACTTGACATCAACCTAAAAGGATCTAAAGTCGAGAGACATGTGAATGTTTCAAATCTTGAAGGAGGTATAAAAACTCCTGAAATGGACATTGAAGGACCAGATGATGATACTGAAGGCCAAAAAGGTAGATTTAAAAGTCCTAATATTACAAATCCAGCATTTGGCATCAAAGGCCCACAAGTAGAAGGTTCCAACGTTGACATAAACTTACCCAAAGTAGACATTGATGTAAAAGCACCTGTTGTTGACATCAAACAACCAGACGTTGATATTGAAAAATCAAACACAAAACTCAAGGGACCCAAAATCAACAGGCCAAATGCTTCAGTTGAGATCAAAGGGCCAGAAATTGACAGTGAAGGTCCCATGGGTGGATTTGAAGAGCCCAAAATCAAAATGTCTTCTTTTAACATTAAAGGGCCAAAATTGGGTGGTCAAGATATTGACATTAATCTTTCCAATTCAAACACTGATGCCAAGGCACCTAAAATGGAAATGAAAGGGCCAGAATTTGATGTT